TGACGCATGCAACAGGTCAAAGGCACAACCCAGGCAGAGGTCGTGTGAACGCTTCCCTTCGGTCTGTAGTATAGACCCCTAGAGGACAATCACAAATGTGGCGTTCCCGTGCACGGAAACCAACCGACAAGAGCGCTTGGGCCTTGCAAAGTAAGCTGCAGATTTTTTTCTTTTATCAGGCTGTTGTCTGGCGCTCTCTCATCTGTAGCGCTCTCTCGCCTCATACTCTCCTCTCCGCGCTTAGTCTCTCATTCCCTTAGCACAGCCGATTAGGAAGGTGAGTGAGCCCTCAACCTAAGCGTTACGATATGGATGTTACGATAAATTGGAAGATGGGTTGAGAAGCCAACCACAAAAAGGCGTCGAGCCTCCAAGGAAGTGGGAAAAAACTTGTTTTGCAGCAAACTCGCCTATCACTGCCTAGAAAATCCAAATTTTGGCAAGCGCTACCTGTCGTGGCCATCTCTTCCGCCGTACATGGCTTTCATTTCCAAACAGCAGTTTAACGGTCGATCCTTCACTTTTCTAGGTTATGCGTTATCAAAGAAAGGTAGTGTTTGTGGCCTGGTACCGACTACTGGGATCAGCACGTGCAGACGAGCTCGTCTTGGTCACAGGCACATCCAAAGTGGAAATCAGCGGATTAAAGGGGGACCCATTTATCGGGGCTTGCGTCGTTTCCTTAACCAGTGCCATCCTCTACCCCCTCGGCTTTCAATTCCAATGGGCAACGATTTTTGTACCACCCGCCCTTACGGTTCTCCTACTCTTATTCTAAACATAGGCAGTGAATAGGAAATAGTTTTATACTCAGCGCTCATCGGTCACTCCCATATAGCCATACTGCCGGGATCTGCTCGCCTATATGTGATCTTTGCCAAAGTCTAGTTCGTTGATGGTTTTTTTTTCAGATCGAGACGATCAGCTGGTTCGATTCGCCAGGCCGAGTTTTGCGTGAGAAGCTCTAGGATATTTGGGTTATCACCGTCGCACCATCACAGCATCAACATTCATGTCAGATATTTGTGTGAATGATTGTTGAAAATAACACTGTTTAATTGTTCCTTGACGTTTGATCGTCGTCACTGGTCCTTATTTCACGCGGCCAAGCATTGCAAAACCATTAGACGCTCGAAGGATGCTATACATTTGTCTTACACTTCTGCTGGACGATGCGGGAGAGATCGAAGCTAAAGAATGGAGGCGCAATCCATTTTGATCCTATGGGCGGAGTCAGTGCGCTCTCCTCCATCGTTATCTGCTCTTTAAAGGCAAAAGTCGGGCTCAATAAGGGGGTATTATGGCGATTGAAACTGAGTATAGAGATGCGAAGTGGAACGACAGTGGAGAAAAAACTGAGAAAAACCGTCGACAAGGCCGTTAACAAAACCCTCTTTCCCACTAGCAGTGAAGGAGGCTGGCTTGGGGAAAGAGGCACGTTTTCTGGAGATGTCAGTCGTTCTATCGGTTGATACGGCAATCAACCTAGCTGATTTCACACGTTATGCCAGCCACGCACCACTTCCGGAGGTGGGCGGTCCTGGATTGACCAGGCGGCCCTGGATTGAAACCGAACGCCCGGGGCCTTAACGGGGTTTTTCAAGGTGGGAAGTTGGTTGGATGTGTGCACAGCTACCATATTCAAGCGTACTTTTGATAAGGACCGGTGGATGTCTTACATTCCACACAACCTGCCTACATCCTATCCACAGGTCATCCACCCTGGAGTTCCTCCACCCTTAGGCCTAGGCAGAGGTGTCCATTCTCCTGGTCCAGGAACGTTCCCTTGGACCATGGCAGGCGGAAATGTGAAATTCTGGGTTTCTCCACATTACACCGATACTTATCAGAAGTATACATTAAATGAGTCGATTACGTGTCATGAGCGCTCTCATCCTTATCTCAAGTATTGGAGAAACAATGGAGTGCGCCCCCCCGACCCCC